TCACACCTGTAATCCCAGCACTTTAGGAGGCCGAGGTGGGTGGATCACCTGAGGTTGGGAGTTTGAGACCAGCCTGACCAACATGGAGAAACCCTGTCTCTACTAAAAATACAAAATTAGCCGGGCGTGGTGGCACACTCCTGTAATCCCAGCTACTCGGGAGGCTGAGGCAGGAGAATCGCTTGAACCTGGGAGGCAGAGGTTGTGGTGAGCTGAGATTGCGCCGTTGCTCTCCAGCCTGGGCAATAAGAGCAAAACTCTGTCTCAAAAAAACAAACAAAAAAACTTATTTCAAAATGTATTGAATATAAATAAGTTATTGAGGTATTTTTATTATTTTTTTCTATAAGTCTGATTTACCCTTACAACACATCTCATTTGAATGCTATATTTTCAAGGGCTAGTAGCCAAAAAAAATGGAAACACCCAAATGTCCATCAGCTGATGAATGAATAAACAAAACCTGGTACAGTCATACAATGGAATATTATTCAGCCATAAAAGGAGTACATCATGGTTGAACCTCGAAAACATATACTAACTGAAAAGAGCCAGACATAAAAGACACATATTAAGTGATTGCATCTATGTAAAATGTCCAGAATAGGCAGATCCATAGAGACAGACAGTGGACTAGTGTTTGCCTGAGGCTAGGGGTTAGGGAGGAATTCAGACGGTTGACAGATACGGGTTTTATTTTGGGGGAGGGGTGATAAAATGTTCTGGAATTAGACAGTGGTGATGGTTGCATAACCTTGTGAATATACTAAAACCACTGAGCTGTAACACTTTAAAATGGTGAAATGTAAGAAAAAAAAAAAAAAAAGCCCAGGTTAGTGGCTCACACTTATTATTGCAACACTTTGAGGGGCTAAGGCAGGAGGATTACTTGAGCCCAGGAGTTCGAGAGCAGCCTGGGCAACATAGTGATATCTTGTCTTACTAAAAGTTTTTTTAAAAATTGGCCAGGCATGGTGGCTCACACCTGTGGTCCCAGCTCCTCAGGAGGCTGAGGTGGGAGGATCCCTTGAGCTGGGGAGTTTGAAGCTGCAGTCAGCTGTGATGGTGCCACTGCACTGCAGCCTGGGTGACAGAGCAAGACCTTGTCTCAAAAATTTAAAAATGAGTAACAAAATGGTGAATTTTATGGTATGTGAATTACATCTCAGGAAAAAAAATTAACAATAAAATAAATAAAATTAAGAAGTAGTTCTACCAAAACAATACAGTTATATTTAATAGGAAAATCTTTTACACTGATTTGGTTTCTAAATTTAAATGTAAGTTAATTAAGATTATAAAATTAAAAGTTAACTTCCCTCATTAAGGCAGCTACATTTCAAGTCATAATAGCCATGTGGGACCAGGGGCTACCATAAAGGATGTTGTACCTCTGAGAGCTCACTGCCCCTGGACACCAAATGAGGTCCTGAGTGGCCATCCTCGACCACTCCCTGGGTAAGTCCTGAAGGAACCAAAAGCAGGCTGATAAGAGGACGCTAGAGTGAACAAATGAAACTATACCATACAGACCCTTTTTCTTTCCACCAAAATGCAGAATCATATCAATTACATCATTTTTTTCCAGCAACAACTCTATCTTATAGGTGAAGAAATCCATACAATGTCAAAACCAGAAGGAATCTTTGAGACAACCAATTTTTTTAAAAGTTTAAAAAAGTACAATTCAGGGCCGGGTGCGGTGGCTCAAGCCTGTAATCCCAGCGCTTTGGGAGGCCGAGGCGGGCGGATCACAAGGTCAGGAGATCGAGACCATCCTGGCTAACACGGTGAAACACCGTCTCTACTAAAACAAAAAATTAGCCGGGCGCGGTGGCAGGCGCCTGTAGTCCCAGCGACTCGGGAGGCTGAGGCAGGAGAATGGCATGAACCCGGGAGGCGGAGCTTGCAGTGAGCCGAGATGGCGCCACTGCACTCCAGTCTGGGCGACAGAGCCAGACTCCGTCTCAAAAAAAAAAAAAGTACAATTCACTCTTCATGGCATACAGTTCTATGGATTTTGGCAAAGGTATGGAGTTGTGTCCCCTCCACCACGATCAACACACAGAATGGTTCCATCACCCTCAGAGGTCTCTCATGCTGCCCAGTTATTGTTTGAAGCTTTCGTTCATTTCTTGACTATCCACTGTTTACCAGGCTCCTGCTCTGCACTGTGAACTTTCTTTTTTTCTTTTCTTTTTTTTTTTTTTTTTTTTTTGAGACAGAGTCTCACTGTGTCACCAGGCTGGAGTGCAGCGGCCTCAGCTCACCACAACCTCTGCCTCCTGGGTTCAAGCGATTCTCCTGCCTCAGCCTAGGACTACAGGCACAGGCCACCATGCCCAGCTAATTTTTGTATTTTAGTAAAGATGAGGTTTCACCATGTTGGCCAGGATGGTCTTGATCTCTTGACCTCGTGATCCACCCGCCTTGGCCTCCCAAAGTGCTGGGATTACAGGCGTGAGCCACTGCACCTGGTCAACTGCGAACTTTCTTAGTCTGCCTAACCACCCTGTGTAGTGGGTGTTCAGTTCCCCTTTGCTCAAGGCCACACAGCTCTTGGTGGCAGAGCTGAGATGTGAACTCAGATCCACCAACTCTAATCTTAACTAGGAGTTAACTTAGTAGTTCTTAACTGCTGCTGTCCAAGACTCCTTCATTTGCTGACTGCCCACTAGAGCCTGGGTGTTCACTGAAATATTTATTAGCACCAGCTATGCGCTGCCCTCTTCCAGGAACAAACAGGCCATGGTCCCTTCTGGACTATGCAGCTTCTGCCCTGGTCCCAGACTGCGGGGGTGTTGGGCTCTCACCTGCCTCACCAGGGGCAAGTTCAGTGGTACAAAAGCACAGGGCTGCCCTCTCTTCTTTCTTCTCCTCCTCCTCCTCTTCCTCCTCCTTCTCCTCTTCCTCCTCCTTCTTCTCCTCCTCCTCCTCCAGCTGCCCTCCCCTCCTCCTCCTCCTGCTGCTTTCCTTCTCCATGTGCCAAGCCTGACAGCTTTCACCAGTAGAACTGAGAAGCCTCTCCCAAGATCCTTTTCTGTTAACAGTGAGCTAAGGGCAGGTCCCCTCTGTCGTCCTTTTCCAAAGGAGAGGAAGATGCCCCACTTCACCAGCCCTCCTCCTCACCCAAGCCTTCCTTAGGGAGGACATAATCTCCTCAGAAGCAGCAGCAGGGCTGCAGGACCAGGCGCACAGGCGGCGGCTTGGAGGGCTCTTGCACAGACCACTGTGTTTTGCAACCAGGAGCAGAAGGGAGGCTCAGAAAACATCCCCAGGAGCAATGACCCTGGTGGCCTGAGGGCTGTTTCTCCCTGTCGCATAAGCAACTACTGTCTGGGGTTTCAAAATCCCTTTTCAGGCTTCATCACTAAAAAGTGTTTCACTCCCAAATGACCTGTTGTCATCCTCCTGATCGTCTAGAGCTTTTTTTTTTTTTTTTTTAAATAAACCCCTCCCCTTGCTCAAGGTGAGGTGATGCCAAGACTGTCCAGGCTTCGCTTCAGGCTTCCAGCTGAGGAAGCTGAAGAGATTTAGTAGCGGAAGCCTCATAAAGAGAGGCTTCCCCCAGGGTCCTTCTTGTTCCTGGCTCGGGCTGAGGAGCAGACACAGGTCAGAAAGGCTGGGAGACAGCGCTGGTTCCATACTCAAAATCCTGGTTGCCTTAATCTGGGTTTAAACAGCACATTTTGATAAACAGCCCCACTCAGAACTGTACAGTGTTGCTAATCCCAGCCTCTCAGGGTAAAGCAGAGGCAAGGGGAAAACAAACATTTTATGGCTGTGGAAAGACAGCCACTCCTGCCCCGTGCCCTTCTGTGACAGCTCTCATTATAGGAGAAGCTAGGCCTAGAGGGAAAAAGGGGCCACTGAGTCAAATACAAATGGCGAACAATGATTTCCCTTTTTTGGTTTTGAAATGGAGTTTTGCTCTGTCGCCCAGGCTGGAGTGCAGTGGCGTGATCTCGTTCACTGCAACCTCTGCCTCTGGGGTTCAAGTGACTCTCCTGCCTCAGCCATCGGAGTAGCTGGGATTATGGGCGCCCACCACCATGTCCTGGCTAATTTTTGTGTATTTAGTAGAGATGGAGTTTCACCATGTTGGCCACGCTGGTCTCGAACTCCTGACCTCAGGTGATCCACCCACCTTGGCCTCCTAAAATGCTGGGATTACAGGCCTGAGCCACCGCACCCAGCCTAATGATTTATCTTTAGCTTCAACTCCCTGGGCTTTTGGGGCAGCAGGGCTGAATTGAAGAAGGCATAAAAGCAGAAATTAGCCACTGACCTTGAGATATTTTTGTCTGAATTTGGGAGACAATTTTAAGCTAAAGCTGGGGTTGGATTTACCAGAAATATCTGGGGGGTTACTTTTATTATTTATTTCAAATGTAATATATGTTTGTTGGAGAAAATTTTCAGAATTACCAAAGGCAATAAATAACTAAAAATTTAAAAACGTTACTCCACCATTCAATGTTGATATTTTAAAACCTTCCAACCTATTCTTTCCATAGTAGATTGTTTTCCACAAAAATGAAATCGCAGACAAGATACTATGTTTTATAAACTTGCTTTTTTCTTTCTTTTTTTTTTTGAGATGGAGTCTCGCACTCTCACCAGGGCTGGAGTGCAGTGGCACAATCTCAGCTCACTGCAACCTCCACCTCCTGGGTTCAAGCGATTCTCCTGCTTCAGCCTCCCAAGTAGCTGGGATTACAGGCACCCGCCACCACGCCCAGCTAATTTATTGTATTTCTAGTAGAGACAGGGTTTTACCATGTTGGCCAGGCTGGTCTCGAACTGACCTCATGATTCACCCAGCTCGGACTTCCAAAGTACTGAGATTACAGGCATGAGCCACCGCGCCTGGTCTAAGCTTGCTTTTTTCAAAAAAATGTATCAATAGATTTTGTTGTTATTAATGACCATATCAATAGTTCTTAAGCCCACTGGGCAAATTATTAATACTCTATAACTAGAAAATGGTTCCCCTGCAGCGTCCTGGGAGATGAATATGGTTCCGCACAGTGACTTCAGGAGATAAACTCCTCCATCTTGTTAAGCATGTCTGTTCAACAGTTCAAGCTCAAGATGAAAGGCAAGTGGCATGACTGAATCAGCACTTTGGCCCCACCGTGCCTGCCACCTGTTTTATGAAGCGTGCCAGTGTGTCAAGTGCTGAAGTATGAAAAGAAAGGTGGTGTTGTCAACCAGGACTTCATCCCCTCACTCCAGTCTTTCCCTCAGCCACCTCAGCTGGAGAGGCCTTGAGGCTGAAGAAAATGTGCCTTCCGGGAAAGCAACTGCACACACTGACCTCAGAAAATAGGAAGCCCCCAGGAGCAGTGAATGAAACATTACTTTGTTGTCTTTGGAGACCAATTTCCAGGTCTCTCCATTTTAAAAGGAATGCAGATACAAAATCTCCTCAGTCCCATGTAGCCGCGTGGGTTGTGTTTGTCCCCTTGGGACAGAAAATGGTGAGTTTATGGCCTTTGGTGAGCAAGAGCCCCCCTTGACCCAAAGCAGCTTCCATCTGCCCCTCAGCCTCCCCCTTCTCCTTTCCAGTAAAGAAACCCAGTTGCCTGTTACAGTGTCAGACTTTGCAAGGCTGTTAACGACCTATAAAAGTCCAAAGACAGAATACTCCGGAAGGAGGAAACACTAATTAAGGAAATCCTGAATGCCCTAAGCCTGCTCATTAACAAGAGGCGCATAATAACAGCCAAAGTGGAGAAGCTCATAAATTACCCAAGGAAGCCCAACGCAGTTGGGAGGTGGGGCCTGGCCAATGGAACCCAGGGTTCACTTCTGGGGTTAATGGAATCCTGGCTGGTCCCCGGGATTGCCCAAGGCCAGGCGTGGTGTTTCCTTCCTGCCTTGCTGGGAGAGGTGAGTAAGTTTGAGGGAGGTGATTATTCAGAGTCACCCGCAAATCAGGGCGATACTTGCTCTGGGCCACAGAGGGAAGTGGGTCACGCACGGGAGAGTATTAGAACTCCAAGCTTTGTCTTGGCGATGTGCTCGCAGATAAGTAAACAACATCCCTCCCTTTCCCTCCCCCTACTGGGCATCTTCCACTCCCAGTCATTTATCACAGGCTGAAGGAAACACATTATTCAAAAGAAAAGGGAGAGGCGGGGAGGAAGACCTAGGACTTCTCAAACCCCTTTCCTTCCAAGAGCTCCAGGCTCGATGCTATGATCACTATGAGCTTCCCGGCAAAAGATTGACACATTCAGCTAGAGAGAAACCAAGCGACACAGAGGTTCACTGACGGGCGTCCGCACCGCCCCCCCCCGCCCCAGCAAACCGGGGGATGAGTTTAATTTGCTTTCCATTAAAGCTCCTGCTGCTTACTAAAGATTTCACAACGTGTTGGCTCAGTCTAAGCAAAATGGAAGCCCCATGCATGACTCAGCCCACCTTTTCATGACTCAGGATCTGGAAGAAATTGGAGAATGTATGATCAAATCTCACCCGTGGCACATCCAGTACGAAGATGTTTCCCAATGCCCTGATTTTTGTGTCTGTGTATTCGGTGATTTCATCACTCCACCAATAAAGCCTAACAGTATCAACAACAGCAAAAGAATGGCAGCTGACTCTTATGGAGCCTTATCCATCCCAGGCATTAATAGACACTTACACCTGTTTCCTCCTCTGGCCCTCACGCTGAACTCAAGAGGAAACCTAGGCTCAGAGAGGCAACATGACTGTGCAGATCGCACAGGGTGAGAGCCACGGCCAAACTCGGGGCCCAGTTTCCTAACTGTTTGACTGCAACCAGATTTTGGGGCCATATTTGATGCAAACTCAGGTAGAGGTTAAGATCATGGGCCAAAGAGCCCAAAAGTCCTTGGAGACTGTCTTGGCCACATACTTTAGGGTGAGTCACTTTGCCTTCCTGAGCCTCACCTGTAAGATGGGGGAAATAATACCGTTGGTGAGGATTAAATGAGATTCTTCACGTAAAACGCTTAGAACACTTGTAATAAGTTGTCAGTAACTGTAGGTTGCCATGGACTGGGAGTGCCGGCTTCTGGGGGCACCCAGGTGAGAGGGGTTAGAGAGGGCCCCAGCAGGGCCCTTAGAGGAGCCGCAGAAAGCAGCGCTTGTCATTTCCACAATTTCGATGAAACCCATAATTATAACCCCTCCTGCCGTCCCTGGCCCTGGGGCAGTGATAGAATCTTGCTGCTTTCGGGGTCAGGTCTAATCACCACATGGATGGGCAGGCACAGGGTGCTGTGGGAGATGGGTGGGGGACAGGTGGGAGAGGGCACTTGTCTCTGAGTCAGGCAGCAGGACACACCCAGAACTGCACCGTGGGGCACCCACCCAAATGGAGAAGCTGCTGCGGCCCCTTTCACAGGAGATCGCAGAGTGAGATTGCAAGCCCTAGAATTGCTGCCCAGGTTTTTTTTCTCCCCCCACCCTAGCAGCTCATATGTAACATGCTGAATTTGAGCCAAAGTCATATTAAATAACAGCTCCTCTGAATTGAGTTCTTACTGTATACCAGGCCCTAGGCTGGACACATTTTATTTATATTCTAATTTAATCCTCACAACCGCCCCATGGGATGGTATCAGTTGGGTACATGTATGTAGCAGTTACTATGTGCCAGGCACTGTTCTTAGCATTTCATGTCTATGACTTTTTCCACTCCTAAGAGGGGAGTACTATTATTACTCCCTTTTTCCAGCTGGAGAAACCCAGGCACATAGAGTTAAGTAATCTGCTCAAGGTCACAGGGCTGGAAAATGAGGGAGCCAGGTCTCAAAGCAGGGCAACTGGACCTGTGCACACACTTAACCTCTATATTACAAACCTTCTTTACCCCACAAGCTACTGTTATTATCCCCACAAGCTACTGTTATTATCCCCGTTTGGCAGATGAGCAAACTGAGGCTCAGAGACCAGAGCCAGGATCTGGCGCCAAGACCCATGCTCAAATTGTTATACCAGACTGGCCTACACTCCGACTGCAGTGGGTCTTTTTTTTTTTTTTTTTTTTTTTTGTGAGACAGAGTTCTGTTCTTGTCGCCCAGGCTGGAGTGCAGTGGCGCGATCTCACTCACTGCAACCTCCACCTCCCGAGTTCAAGCTATTCTCCTGCCTCCGCCTCCCAAGTAGCTGGGACTGCAGGCGCATACCACCATGCCGGACTAATTTTTTTGTATTTTTAGTAGAGATGGCGTTTCACTATGTTGGCCAGGCTGGTCTCGAACTCCTGACCTCATGATCCGCCTGCCTCAGCCTCCCAAAGTGCTGGGATTACAGGCATGAGCCACTGTGCCTGGCTAGTGGGTCTTTTTTCAGTTGGACATGAATGATGTGATTTAGGGAGAAGAGAGGGGCAGAGAGCCCCAATGCCTAGAAATAACCACAACCGGTAGCCCTTACACCTGTAGGTGTTACTTTTCTTCTCATTTTATGTATGAAAAAAATGAGGTCCAGAGAGGTGAGGTCCCTGTCCTGCCAGGGAGCAATGGGGCTGAGACTTGAACCCCTGACTCCTGAGCCGAAGCCCCAGTGCGTCTCTTCTTCCAGGCAAGGTGTCTGAAATTCCACTCTAAGAAATTCATTCTTTGGATCCTGAAAGTGTTTGGCCCTCAAATCATTTAAAAAGAATTTGTTGAGCAGCGACCTTATTCCAGGTGTGGTGCTGAGTCAGGGGTTCTCACACTGTGTTGTGAGACCCGGGAGCTCCAGAGCTCTGAGAGAGCGTCCCTGGTGGGTCTGAGATGGTCACACAGGCAGGGCTGCCCCCAGCCCCCTTCCCCATTCTGCCAAGAACTGCTTTCTTGTATCTGTTTTATATTGAGATACCTATAGATTTTGCTTTTGAAGAGAGAGTTCCACCACTAAAAATGCTTTAAAATCACTGTATCTGGTCCTGGGGACATAGAGGTGGTCTGTCATGTCCCCAGCCTCAAAGACCCACCTGGGACAGACAGACAGGAAAACTCACTGCAGTATAGCTTAGCAACCACCCAGGCAGGTGTGAAGTGCAGAGACAACACAAAAGAAGTGATTTAGCTCTGGGGCAAAGGAGGGAGAAGGCTTTCTAGAGGAAGGGACGTTGAACTGAACTTGGAAAGACTCTGGATTCTCTGAGCAGCCGAAGCAGGAAGAGCATTCCAGGTGGAAGGAACAGCATGGCCAAGGATTGTAGTGGAAAGTGTATTGAGGGAACCTGAAGGAATCCTGGAACGGAAGGTGAGGGACACCAGCATGTCATCATCAGCTAGTGACTGAACACGGAGTAGGTCACTTTTAACCATCTTTAACTGTCAGTGTACTTATGCCGGGTCCTATGCTGTGCAGCGGGGACAAGGATGTGAGCTAGACAGAGCTCCTTGCTCTCCCAAATCTCAACATCTGGGGTGGGGAGGGGTGAAGCAATTCAGTCCAGCCGCTGGTCAATGAGAGTTTCTTAGGGTGGGATGTTGGGGGCTGGAGATGATCAAGAGTTAGTTATTGAAGCCCAGAGCAGGGCAAGGCGCAATGCATTTTAAACAGGGACGGCCAGGAAGGGCTTCACAGGCAAAGTGGCACCTGAATTGGACTTGGAGAGGTGGGGATGATTGTGAGAGTCGGGGGTGGTAGAACACATTCCAGGCCAAGGAAGGAACAGCAGCAGCAAAAGCCTAGACACAGGAATGCACAGGGTGTGAGCAGGGAACAGGGAGCAGCTGGGTTGGGTGCAGCATCGGGTACGGGAAAGGAAGTAGAAGGAGATCAAACTGAAAATGTCTGTTAGAGCTAGACTGTGGAGAAATGGGCAAGAGGCAAGCAAAGGAGTCCACACCCGAGGATCTGAGCAACAGGATGAGCAGGACACAATACCAGGCCTGTGTCATCACCACCTGTGCGGGGGTCCACCTCCTGAAACACCTCGGAGGGACCAAAGTAATCCCAGCCCAGAGGGCAGCCTCTGGAACCAGCTGCTCCACTGAGCAGCCACATGACCTTGAGCTTGTTACTTGGCTTCCTGGAGTGTGAAATGGGCACAGAAATACGTCTCCTAGAATTGGTGTGAGAATTAAATTAGTTAATACACTCAAAATGAACAGAACACAGCTGGTCACATGGTAAATACTCCTATTATGCTAGTGCTTATTATTTAAAAGACCAACTTATTTAATTTCTCTCCTTTTCCAATGATGAGAAGGAGAGCTCTCCAGAGAATGAGAGCTACGAGAGGAATTCCATTTCATTTGTTTCTTGGTTCTTTCATACTTTGATCATCCAGTTGGTAGGTCAGGCATGCCTCTTATTTCCTTCCTTTTCCTCCCTTCCTCCCTGCTTCCACAAATCCTTTTTTTTTTTTTTTTTTTTTTTTTTTTTTTTTTTTTGTTGAGATGGAGTCTCGCTCTGCCACCCAGGCTGGAGTGCAGTGCACAATCTTGGCTCACTGCAACCTCCGCCTCGTGGGTTCAAGAGATTCTCATGCCTCAGCCTCCCCAGTAGCTGGGATTACAGGCACCTACCACCACGCTTGGCTAATTTTTGTTTTTTCAGTAGAGTTTCATCATGCTGGCCCAGCTGGTCTTGAACTCCTGACCTTAAGTGATCCACCCGCCTCAGCCTCCCAAAGTGCTGGGATTACAAGCGTGAACCACCGTGCCCGGCCCACAAATACATATTGAGTGCTAACTCTGTTCATTGCTTTCTTTTCTGTGTCAGGGAAGTTTGGGTGAGATGCCCAGTACACTCTAGGTCACTATTTTTTCAACTCATGGCCTTTCACAGGGCACTGATCTCTGCCAGGCCCTGTGCTGAGTATGGGGAATACTGATGTGTAAGCTGCTTCCTGCCCTGGGCGAGTTGCCATCCTGGCCCTGCGCCCAGGACTCTTGAATGTTAACCATAACCCAGTGGGATCCATGCAAAGTAGTCCCATGGGAAGCTCAAGGGGAGAGTGGAGAGCCAGGGCCACAGCAGAGGAGAGGAGAAAGGTGTCATTACAAAGGAGAAAAGTCCTGATTTGGCCTGTGTCATGAAATCATTTTATTGCCTACAAATTTCAACATTCAGATTATTTTCCGAGTACCCAGAGAGGGGCTGAATGGGACGATGAATTTATGAAAATGATGCCAGCCCAGAGTTCTGCTGCAGACAGACCTTCCCCAAACCTTGGTTAAAACCACCCTGCCACCCAGAGTATAGAACACAGGGTCCCGGGCCAGTGATGATAATAGTAACAATGCACTTTTTTTGTTTTTTGCTTTTATGAGACAGGGTCTCACCGTGTCACCAGTATGATCATGACTCACTGCAGCTTCCAGCTCCCAAGCTCAAGTGATCCTCCTGCCTCAGCTTCCCAAGTTGGAACTACAGACATACACCACCACACCCAGCTAATGTTTAAAAAATTTTTTTTTTCTAGAGAGGGGATATTGCTATGTTGCTTAGGTAGGTTGCTCTTGAATTTCTGGCCTCAAGTGGTCCTCCCTCCTTGGCCTCCCAAAGCACTGGGATTACAGGCATGAGCCATATCATAATGGCCGGTTTTTTAGCACCTACTATGTGTCGGGCACTGTGCTAGGTGTTTTACAGACATCATTTCACTTAATTCTCACA